GGTGTGTTCCTGCGCTGAGAAACAAAACTGAGAAAGCATCATTCCAAGCTCACTTTCATGTAGAAATGAGCGAATCAATGGGGTTCTGTTACTCAGAAATAAATGATAGTTTTTTCAGATATTCCTTATCATTGATTTTAGGGTGCATTGAACTAACAATGATTACAAAAGGCGATATGAGCAAGATGACAGGAAAATATGTACTTGCTTGCTGCTGTTTACTGCTTCCTTTTACACAGCAAATACACGAATTCCGATAATGTGTAGGTGTGTCAGCAAATGTAGTATCAGAATTAGAAATTATAAATTTCTCAGCATATTAATGACGCCCTTTGACGTATTCGCCATGAGTAATATTTTGAGTGCCAGTTTTTGTCTGTGAAAAATTTTAAGATTTTCATCTTAACCGATTACACGTGCGGCAAGTCTTTGGTATCCACTGCATTCCCTGTTTCGAAAATGTTTGCCTTATGGCACTGGATTCTGAATCGTAGAAGGAAATATTCCTCTTCGATATTAGACGTATGTGTGCATGGTTCCGCTAGGCTGACAATCAACGAGACGCTCATAGACTGGAGTAAATGGTTTATGCTCAACCAGTTTGCCTCACGAGGTCAAAGTCCTCTGCTTCACCAACAAATCTACTGAGGTTATCTATGTCCAGAACAGGGTACAGTCATTTCTAGCATGATTTCGCAAATAAATCCTCGTTATAAGCCAGAGTCACATGTTGTACACAATTCAACCGTCGTTCTTGCTCATTCGTTGAAACAGTTGTTACGTTACTTGCTGTATCCGTATAGCAACAGTTTCCTGACAGAGGTAAGGCATAGACGAATTTTCATGCATGGACAGTCCAAATATTTGACTTGCTTCCAAGAGCACTTAAGGATAGGACGATTCTCCTATCTAACTCTGGTTGGGATTACGTCGTTAGAAAAGATGCAACCGAGGTACTTCAATTTGTCAATCTCCTCAAGCGCTTCACATCCCTCTTTCATCATGGATCAAATGAGTTCCTCATAACTTTCAACTTTTGCACTGTAAAGAAAAGGCTGGCTTTCGCCGCTGTATCGCATACGAAAGTCATCGGATGACATACCGTATTCCCCCTACTCACCAGAAAAATACCGTTATGAAACTATACTTCAGGATATGCAGCTGGATATCTTGAAGGGCGCTTTCTCCATAGAGCCAGACCTTCGCTTTCAGCAGCAGTGTCATTGTTTGCAGAATGCAGTCGAGAACAATGCTGAATAGCATGAACATGAATTAACAGGTAGAATCTCCACGTTGTTTACACGTTGCCCCAACTGGCTCGAAAAAAGAGAAAGGAAAGTTGGCCAACGTTGGAATGCGGGTTCAAAGCGATGTGTGTTAAGTTCCTCGCTCAAGGGCATTTTTGAATAAGACAAAGAATGCCCGCTATCGGAATCGAACCACTGTATTAGAAACAGACCTCTAACACAACTGTACCAAAATGGCAATTGCTTAGGCTCGAATGATGGCTATACAAGCAAAATATTCGGTAGAATATTTTCAGTAGTTATCTACAGTACACTGTATATTTTACGCACCAAAGTACATTCTT